AATTACTTGAATTTGATGAATTCAACACACACACACACAATTATAGAGTAAGCGTGTTTTAAAAATTTGAAGTTTTTAAAAGAAGCCATTTTTGGTTTCGTTTCGGTTTTCGGCCAAGTGCATCCTAAATTTTCGGTTTCGGCCCAGAATTTTCATTTCGGTGCATCACTAGAGGGGATTATGTATCTCATCTTCAACTCCTAGTTTAGTGTTGTCTCTGGAGTCATAGGTGCTTTGACATTTTTGAAGATGTGCTTGACAAATTGGGTTTGTACTTCATTTTGAGTAGCTGACTGTGATGCCACTGTCCAATGCAGTTAAGTCAAGGTGTGCAATATGCCCTGTCTCATTCAGTTAAGGAGAGTTATGCCAAATAAATCTAACTGCACTGATGTATTAAACAAAGGTTTTTAAATGCACGTAAATAGTTGCACTTTGCAGCTGTGCTAATGTTTCAACTAAAGTTGACCCACAAGGTTAACTTGACCCACAACAGTGTGACTGGACAGTAACCCTCAGTGCAATACCTGTAAATATGCATTGTACAGATTACACAGATCCATACAGGTCTCTATTTTTAAGTACTCTATTTTTATTCCTATTTATCTTGTTTCACAATGAGCATTCCTTTGTCTGCATTGTTTAATGCCTGTTTATACTGTTTATTTTGCATTGTTTGCACTGTTTGTTGCTTGTTAATACTGTTCATTTTATTACACAGCCTTCTGTTGGTTTACTGTTTACTTGCCCCTTGCATGGGGATATGTACATACACATTGAGAGCCAATGTACCAGAGTCAAATTCCTCGTGTGTCTGACACACCTGGCCAATAAGGCTGATTCTGATTCTAAGAGTAATGATAACATCTAAACCCCTTTTTTATTTGACATATGTTTGTTCACACACTTCCTATTCCTGAAAATATGAGAGCTCTTGTCTTTGATATAAATAGGACTTAAAAGAAGTAAAACTGCTATAGTGTGTACAACTTTGACACTTTGTTTTTCAGCCTCTTAAAGTGTGGCTTGAAGGCGTTACATGCCTGAAACATTATACTTCAGTTTGGTATGGGCTGTCTTTATGTAGTATGGTCTGAGCTGTCACATCAGTAAGCTGATTCAGTTCTTAAATTTCCCAGTATTGCCCATTTGATGTAACAAAAGTGATGTTGGCTAAGCATATATTTTCTTTTTCACAGAACATCTTCAATAACCACATGCTGGATGTGAACGTCAGGTGGCTGGCTGTGCTCTATTTCAAAAATGGCATCGATAGATACTGGAGGAGACTAGCGCCTCAGTAAGTGCTTACTTGTCTGCCTTGCGGTTTGCTTTGTCAGTTTTCCATCTTTTCTTCTTTTCTCTTCTACTGCTTTATTCTTTCCTTCATTGTCTCATTCTTAGTGTCCCTGTCCATCAGTCTTAATCTCTGCCAGCTTTTGAGACTTTGTCAGTTTTTTTTCTGATCTCTTTTGTGACAGATTTGTAGTTGCTTTTTTCTGTCATCTCTGTATCTCATTGTCTCTGTAGTTTTTTCTGTTGCCAGTTATAGCTTATGATCACAGTTCTGTCTCCACTGCTTTCACAGCTTTAATCTTTTTGTTTTACCATCATGACTAATCATATTATTGTGCTCTGATTTCCTACTCTGTTTATTCGCTTGTCTCTTTTTTCTGGTGGTAGGTTGGCTTCGAGTATTCAAAGCCTGCGGTGTGTCTTTATGCACCTATCGAGTTTTTTAGATTTTTTTTTTTTGCTCTTGATTTCGCAGGACAGCAGCTGGCCGGAGGTTATCGGTTTTGCTTTAGCACTCTGGCCACTCTGTGACCATGTTGGATGATTGCTGTTCCTTGGAAGTGTTCTTGTTTTACCAACAAGTTGTTTTTTTTTCTTGTCAGTACCTCACTAAATTGAATTTCATTTGTTAGTGCTGTGTGAGGGGTTGTAGTCTTTGGGTTAGTTATGTGATTACATTTGAACCATTGCTATGAATGTAGGAAATGTCTGCTTTGTGGGGGAGCACAACACATGTGGTGTCACAGTACAAAGCATTGGCCACATTTGTATTCTGTAATTACTGTACTTTACAGTAATGATTTGCAGCTAGGGCTGCAACTAATCAATTAACCTACCGGTTATTTTCTCAACTGTTTAGTCTACATAATGTCTGAAACTACAGGAAAATATCTGTTCCAGTTTCTCAGAGTCCAAGGTGATGGTGTCAAATGTTTTTTGTTTGTCCTACTAGCAGTCAAAAACCTAAATCCAGATTACTCCTATGTAAAACAGAGAAAAGCACAAAATCTTAATTTTTGAGCTTTAGAAAACAGCATATTTTTGGCAGTTTGCTTGAAGAAGGACTAACAATCACTTATCATTTACTAAACATTTTAGCTCTGTGTGCATCTGAATTAATGTTTTTTTTTATTTTGTCTATAATGAATTTAACATGCTAAAATATTAAAATCATTTGTACATGTTGAATTCTTAGGTTTGTTTTGATATTTTTTTTATTTATTTTTGAGAGTATCTGGCCAGATGTGGATGGTACATATTAAAGTCCAGTTGAAATGAAATGGCATATTTTTGTCTGTTACAGCAGCAGTATATATTTGCTCTCTAAATAACATGTCACTTCAGAGTAGGTTACAGTGACCGAGACATTAACTTGTTAAACAAGAGCCACATACTCTGAACAATAACCCATATTAGTTTTCTGGCTAGTTTCCTTCTTATTTTAGCTTGATGAACAAGCACCCAAATAAATAACGCCCAATATAGCTGCAAATGATAATTGGGTCCAGTTAGACGCTGGTGTGGTTCTTATTGTTTAATACCATTAACAACATCTACCCATGAAATGTAAGTTCCAGTTTTTTTGTTTTCTATGTGTAACATAGACAGCAGAATGAGCATTTCAGATATTTCTCAAAATACCCCTTTTCTTTTAATAGTAAAGGAAAAGCAAATATACTGACATTATGTTTCACTACAAAAAGGGATGACTAAATGGGATTTTAGTCAGACATCAAGAGTAAAAATAAATAAGTTGTTCAATGCAGTGTCACTGAGTAATATGAGGTTTTTGTAAGAGTCTTTCACTGAGCAAGAATCAAACTGCTCTTCACTTGGATCTCACTGTTTTGACAGGGCTTTTAATTGTAATACTTGGAAAAACCAGTTAAGGAGGTGGAGATACTCATTAAATACACATTTTGCAACCTCATAGCTAAAAATCACATGTATTTGGTATATAGCATTAGAAAAACGGCTATATACAATTATGGTTCCACAGCACCAGTTTTGTGCATGCTGTCTCACTGTCATGGCTTACTGGGTCACATGCAATGAAGCCATTACTGATGTTATTAGTTTTACCTGTGCTTTTTCTGCTGTAATGAGTTGAAAGGTCTGCTGTGAAAAAGGTCAGTTGCTTTTTCATTACTCTCATCCATCCATCCATCCATCTATTTTCCTCCGCTTATCTGAGACCGGGTCGCGGGGGCAGCAGTCTAAGCAAAGATGCCCAGACTTCCCTCTCTCCAGACACTTCCTCCAGCTCCTCCGGGGGAATGCAGAGGCGTTCCCAGGCCAGCCGAGAGAC